ACAGTTCTCCTCAGGCCTATAGACCTCTGAGGTAACTGTGGTCATTGCTAGTCAGGGGGACTGTCCTCTCTCCAGATACAGTTGCCCTGCTGCTGGGGTTCTTGCTCTGAATTTATTGAATGGCTGCAGCTGCTTTTACACTGTGTTTGCTGAGCACAGCCCTCTTGAAGAACCAGGGAGCCCCATTGTTTGTTCAGTTTTAGCTAGGGATAACTGGTTGCACCTTGGAGCAGTATCTGGGGGCTGATCCAGTGGCTCTCAGGCTTCTGTAGGTTTGAGGTTAGAGCTCTGTGCCCAAGCAGTAATCAGTGGCAGGTGAGCACAGCACTCCTGCATGCAGCAGGAGGCTTGACTCTCTGGGGACCCAGAAACTTTTATGGAGCTGGGTTTCCTGAGGTTGTACCTGATGTTTCCCCCACTGTGAAGTTTCCTCTCTATAGGGAGACCAGGTCTGTGGTATTTTAGGGTCCACAGTTCCATCTGGGATGGTGAATACACCACAAAGGTACAGGCAAGTTGCACTGCTCTGGTGACTATGTACCTGCAGGAACCCAGGAACTTTTCCTGAGAACTTTTCAGGGCTGGGGAAGGGGGGGTTGGCTGAATGTCCTGAGATTGGACTTGATGTTTATCTCATCACGGGTTTCCTCCTGTCAGAGAAACTCAGTCTCTGGTGCCCTGGAGTCCACAGTTCTGTCTGGGACAATGAGTCTGGTGCACAAGCAGGTCTCTGGGTTGGCGGCTGAGTGCCTGCTGGACCCCAGGACCTTTTCCAGGGATTGTCTTGGTGACGTGATGTCAGTCCTGATTGCTTCCTTCACCATGGGGTTTTCTCTTGACTGGAAATACCAGTCTCTGATGTTGTGGTGCCCACAGTTCAGTGTGGGATGGTGATCAGAGCAGGCAGGCATGTGGCTCTGGGCTGAATTCTTCCCAGGTTTAGCTGGGTGACCTGAATCCTATTGCTTCCCACACCATGGGGTTTCCTCTCACCTGGGAAACACAATCACTGGTATTTTAGGGCCCAGAGTTCAGTCTGTTGGTTGCTGTGTAGTCACTGCTGTCCTGCTTGTCAGACCCAGTGCCCTCCTGGCACCACCATCTTGGATCTCTCCCAACATATCCTTTCTTTGTAGCATTCTTTGCAAAATTTATGGGAACAGCAATACTGATGTCAGAATAATCAATTGATTGTAAAGTCACTTGTTGCTTAGTCCAGGGAAAACCTAACAGGTATGTGTCATTAGAAGACACAGTATCTCTGGACCAGCCCAAGAAGCAGGGTGCAGCAGAGGAGGATCAGGTGCATAGGCCCAGTAAATGTCAGACATCGCCACTGACATTGTCAAGAGGCACCATATCAGGAACTAAATCTTCAAGTTGTTCTGCATGCTAGACCAATCTTTCAGGTAACCATCTGGTTCCATCATCTCTCTGTGAAAAAAAACCACAAACATGACCTCGTCCCCATATGAGTATGGGGTCAGGTCCATTCCAAGAACATCTAACAGATCTTTCCACTTAACCATGGCTAATGAAGGTTTAGTTTGAGGATGCCAAAATCTGTGTGCTGCATATTGTCCTTTTGTATTTAAAATTAGAAACTTTAATATAGAAAGCGTATGTAGTAAATAATTATGAAGTGTTAGGGGATATAGCCCCCTCTTTTTTTAGCTGAGATTTGATGGTGCCATGTACTCTTTCCACAATTCCTTGCCCTTGTGGATTATAAGGAATTCCTGTTTTATGTTCAATTTGAAATTTCAAACAGAAATTTGCAAAAGCTTTACTAGTAACAAGTTCCATTATCAAGTTTTAATACTCTTAGGCAATCCCAGAATTGAAAAAAATATTTTAGACAATGATGAATAACATTCTTTGTTGCTTCCCCAGTTTGGGCAGTTACTACAAGAAATCTAGTGAAAGTATCTGTTGTAACATGTACAATTTTAATTTTCTAAAGTCATTAATATGTGTAACATCTATCTGTCATAATTGATTAGGCACTAGTCCTCTTGGGTTAACTCCATAATATGAGACTGTAAGATGGATGGGACGAGAAGAGCATTGTTTTACATTTTTTCTCACAGATTTTCTAGAAATTGTAAATTGGCATTGTAGGCTATGACTATTTTGATGATGTAGAGCATGTGAACACGTAGCTTGTTGAACAGCTGTTAGTCCTACACACTAACGAGTTAAAAATCAGCTTGTTCATTACCATGACTTAGAGGTACAGGTAATCCTGCATGTGCTCTACGATGTGCAGTAAAATAATTCTAATTCTCATCAACCACTGAATTTGTAAAAATAATTGCACAGTTAATTTATTAGTAGTTTCAAGATTAGCTACTGTTTCAAAAACTGATAAAGCTCTAGCACATATTGATTGTCAGCATGTAGGTTAAAGGAACAGTCCTCTAATGACATGAAAACAGCAGCCACAGCGACTAATTCTACCACTTGTGCTGAAGTACTTTTACTAGAAAGTAAATATCTTTTGTTATTTATAATATATATAACCTTTCCATTAGATGATCCATCTGTAAACACCAAAGCAACGTTTTTTTTATTGGATGAGAACTAATATTCTTCATAAAAATAAAATCATGCATATTTGCAAACTGAATTAACTTATCTTTAGGATAATGATCATCAATGTTTCCTGTAAAAAGTGCAAATGCTATAGGCCAATCATATGTATTTTGCATAAGCCAAGAAATTTTTATTTTAGAAAAAGGGACCAAAATATATTCTGGGACCAAAATATTCATGAGACTCAGTTCTTCCAAATTGAACCAACGTGGCTATATAGCTTCATAATAAGGGGTTAAAACCTTAGCAGGTGAGGTGAGAAGATGTATCCACATAATAGGAGCAGTTTGCCAAAACACTGCTGCAGTGCATATTTGGTAGCCAATATTATTAACCCTAAAAGGAGCCCCATAACCTATATAAGAAATTGATTGAGCTAGAACAGCTTCTTCTACTTTGGAAAGTGCTATTCGAGCATCCTTTGTTAAATGTCGTGGAGATAAGAGATTAGAATCACCTTTTAAAATATCAAATAAAGGTTTTAACTGTCTTGTAGATAATTTCAAATATGGTTTCAGCCAATTTATATCTCTCCAAAATTTTTGAAAATCATTTAAAGTTTTCAAATGGTCTTTTCTAAGTTGCATCTTTTGAGAAATAATAACTCTAGGTTGTAATTGATATCCAAGATACTAATAAGGTTCCTGTTTTTGATTTTTTTTTTTTCTGGAGGAATTTTTAAACCCTGCATCCTCAAGAGCTATTTTCATTTGTGAAAAAGTATGAAAAACTACATTCTGATCTTTTCTGGCTATTAAAATGTCATCCATATAATGAATAATATATAATTCTTTATATTTCTGTATAATAGGAGTCAGGACTTGAGCTACAAATTTTTGAAACAAGGTGGGACTATTGACCATTCTCTGTGGTAAGATTTTCCAATGATAATGTTTCATTGTTTCTTTAAAATTAATAGAAGGAACACTGAACATAAATCTTTTACAGTCTTTAGGATGTAGAGGAATAGTATAAAAACAATCTTTTAAATCTATAATGATTTTATAAGTTCCTTTAGGAATAGCAATAGGACTAGGCAATCCAGGTTGCAAAGCACCCATCAATTCCATACTTTCATTAACTTTCCTTCAGGCCTGCAATAATCTCCATTTACCAGATTTTTTTCTTAGCTACAAATATAAGAGAATTCCATGGAGAATTTGACAATTCAATGTGGCTGCTATGTAATTGGTCCTGCACCAGTTGTTGAGCAGCCTGTATCTTTTCTTGGCTAAAGGCCATTGATCAACCCAAACAGGAGTATCAGATTTCCAGGTAATCTTATTTGCATGGAGTGTAGGCATGTCAAAGGCCCCTGGGGAAAACACCCCAAACCTTCCCTATATGGTCTCTTTTCGTGTATAATAGGTGTTTGTCGACACTGCTTGAATTTCCCTAATCCTTTGCAGGTGGAAGTCTTCGCTATAGCACCTGTGTTGTAACTTAATCCCTGGCACTATGCATTAATAATCCCATCTTCAACGCCCCTTCCCCAGACATTAACAGGTAGCCCCTCAACTAGATATGGCTGAAACGGACCTCAATTACCTTCCTCATCTTTCCAAGTGAGAACATCACTGCTTTGTTCTGGGCTTTGACTCTGTCCTACGCCCTGTAACTTAGTCATGGCAGGTTGTTTAGGCCAGTGAGAAGGCCATATGTTAAGAGATAAAGGCTTTTGTCCTTTAGGCTGCATAAGCGCCACTAAAGACAGCTTAGATGTAACCTTTTCTTGATAAATAGGAGGTGGTGATGGGGGTGGAAATTCATTCTCTACCTCTTCATTCTCTGAGTCAAAGTTCACCAAAAGTTCCTGTAACTGTCCTTGCATTTTTTCCAATTGCAATTGTAATTTATTTGCCCTATCCTTTCTATGTTTTTTGCTAAGTAAAATATTCTCTTGTACAGTATATGCAGTAACTGTGGGAGGCCAGTCATCATTATATTCAGTTGCTTCCTTCTGCCTCATCCCCTGGATCTAGAGATTCATAATGTCTTCTGCCTTGCCCTGTAAAAGCGGCGGAGCAGATGGAATTTCTTTACTTTCATTTTTCTCCTCTGGCAGGTACAGTAGTCGCAGAGAGTTTTAACAGATCTTGAAATGTTATGGTCTCATGTCTGGGGTCTAATAAATCTCTAATTAAAGTCCACATGGTGAAAGTATTCACAGGCATTTTTTTTCAGGTCCATGAACATCATAATGATCCTGTATCCACCTTCAGAATTTCTCCCACGTGGATAAATTCACAGTCCCTTCAACCAACCTGGAACCAGAGACAAACTTCCTCAATGAACTGCAAAAAATTTAACAAGTTGTTGCTGACTAATTCGAGCTCTCAGCACGTTTTTCAATATTTGGGCAAATAAAATTCTACTATTTCCCTGCCCCATCTTTTGTTACTCACTGCTATTCTCTGTTTCTTGAGCACTCTCTTCTCCAGCGGTGTCCTTCTTTCCCTCTTTCTCGAGCCCACGCAGTCAGATAAGTGTATACTACGAGAGAGGCCGTGAGGATTAAGAAAGAAAACAAAGTGAGACAAAGTTAACCGGACTTCAGCAAAGATTGAAGCTGAGTTTATTCTCTCCAGCCAACCTTTATATGCTCCAAGTGTATACAGAGCCAACATGACAACCTTATCTTAGGGAACTCTTGTTCCTTGCACAGGGAACAAAAGGTCAAAGAACAGTCAACTACAATAATAATTACTTCCTTAGAAACTGAAACAAAGGTCCTTTAAGTAAGTGTAAGTGTTCCATGCTTAGATCAAAATGGAGTCAGCATTGTCATGGCTCTCCAAAAGGAGACAATGATTAAAGTCTGAATAAAATTATGTTAGTTTTCAAGTTGCTTAAGCAAAATTAAACGTGAAACAAGGTTCTAATACCTAAGAGATAAATGACTAGGGAATGAGGAAGCATAGACAGTAGAATACAAGCCCATAGGGCATGAGAATTTGCTAGTATTCTTGTAACCCATGAAAGACTATTAGCAGAAAATAAAAACAAAAACAAAACCTAGGAACAGAATGCGACATTGAAATAAAATGACAGTTACAGAAGCAAATAAATTAATTATTAATTATAAATGAAAATGCGTTAAAGCAATATATTGAAAGCGTGAAAAACGAAAAAATAATAAATATACCGTATCTGAAAATTCAAAGAATGAGTGTCAATAAGATAGCATACCAGGCCAATGTCAACCAAAAGAAATTTTATGCAACGATATTAATATGTGATAAAATGGTTATTAACATAGAATGCACTTACTGAAGATGGAGTATCATTATACAATGATAAAAGTTTCAAATATCTAAGAAGATAGATCAATAAATAAACCATCCAGTATTTTAAATATCTGGAAGAAAATTAAAAAATAAATTAGCAAATCTCTTATAATAGATTTCTTTTTACATTTAATTTAAGTTTACTTATTTATTATCCTTCATACAATACATCTCACCTGCAGCCTCACCTTCCTCCCCTCCTCCCAGTTCTCTCCTTCCTTTCTTCCCCAGATCTGCTCTTCTATTTCTTTTCAGAAAAGAGCAGGTCTTGCATCTAAAGAAGCTAAGCAAGAAGAAGGACACTGGGTAAGATGATCAATCCTCATTCAAAAATGCAAACGGATGGACATCAGAAGAGGGAGAAAACAGGGAATAGGACAGGAGCCTGCCACAGAGAGCCATTGAAAGATTCTGTTCAGCAGGGTATCAAAGCAGATGCTGAGACTCATAGCCAAACTTTGAGCAGAGTACAAGGAATCTTATGAAAGACCTGGAGGGGACAGGAGCTCCACAAGGAGAACAACAGAACCAAAAAATCTGGGCACAGGGGTCTTTTCTGAGACTGATACTCCAACCAAGGACCATGCATGGAGATAACCTAGAACCCCTGCACAGATATAGCCCATGGTAGTTCAGTGTCCAAGTAGGTACCCTAGTAAGGGGAACAGGGAATGTCTCTGACAGGAGTTCAGTGGCTCAGTGGCTCTTGGATCACCTCCCACTAAGGGGGGGAGCAGCCTTACCAGGCCACAGAGGAAGACAATGCAGCCAGTAGTTTTGGTGAGACCTGATAGGCAAGGGTCAGATGGAAGGGAGGAGGACCTCCCCTATCAGTGGACTGGGGGAGGCGTATGGGAGGAAAAAAGAGAGAAAGTGTAGGTTTGGGAGGGGGCTACAACTGGAATACAAAATGAATAAATTGTAATTAATAAAAATAAATTAATAAAAATCTGTACCAAAAAGCTAAAAAAGAAAAAGAAGAAGAAGAAAGAAAGAAAGAAAGAAGAAAGAAAGAAAGAGAAAAGAGGAAAAGAGCAAGTCTCCCAGGGATATCAATTGAACTTGGCATAATATAATAGAGTAAGTCTAGGCATACACCCTTTTTTCAAGGCTGGACAGAGCAACCCAGTGGGAAAAAAAGGTCCCAAGAAGAGCAAAAGAGTCAGATAGCCTACTCCTCCCCCACCCCCACTCCCCACATAAACATTCACACTGTTAGGAGACTCACAAGAACCCCAAGCTAAAGAACCACAGCATTTATGCAGGAGGCCTTGTGCAGACCCATGCAGTCTTCCTGGTTGCTGCTTCAGTCTCTGTGAGACCCCTGTGAGCCCTGCTTAATTGATTCTGCGGGCCATGTTCTCATTGTGTCCTTGATCCATCTTGCTCCTACAACCATTCATCTGCCTCTTTTGCAAGGTTCCCTAAACTCTGCCTAATGTTTGGCTGTGGGGTTTTGTATCTGCTCCCATCAGCTATAGAAGGAAGCCTCTGTGATGGCCTATGAGTGCAGCAGATCCTATGAGTGCAGCAGAATATCATTAGGAATCATTTCATTGACTTTCTTGTTTTTAACAATTGTGTTTGGTTGTAACTCTGTGCTATCCACCTCCCAGTTCCTGGCCCGCAATGTTGGCCATGGGCTCCCTCTTGTGGTGGGCGCCTCAGGTTATACCAATCATTGGTTGGCCACATAGACAAGCTCTAAGCCACTACTGCCCCAGCATGTCTTGCTGGCAGGAGAGGTTGTGGGTCATAGATTTTGTGGCTGGGTTGTTGTTCCAGTTCCACAACTGGGAGCCTTGCCAGGTTACAGAAGATGGTTGGTTCAGGCTCCAAATCCTACATTATCAGGAGTCCTCACTAGGGTCAACCTCATAGGTTCCAGGCACTTTCCACTGTACTTGGTTTCCATATGAGACCTTAAGTGCCCACCTATTTCAGTCATCTCTCCTTCCTCCTCTTCTGCCCCACCTGACCTCTCCTATTCTCATTCCCCTCTCCTGCCCAAATCTACTCTATTTCTGTTTTCCAGGGAAAGTCACGCATCACCCCAGACCTCTTGTCTTTATCTAACTCCTGTAGATCTGTGGATTGTAGTGTGATCATCCTTTACTTACCAGCTAATATCTACTATCAGTCAATATGTATCATGTTTGCCCTTCTGGGTCTGAGTTGCCTAACTCAGGAAATTTTTTTTTCTAGTTCCCTCCATTTGCCTGCAAATTTCGTGATTTTTTGTTTTGTTTTGTTTTGTTTTGTTGTAACAGCTAAATAATACTTCAGCAAGTAAATGTACCAAATTTTTTTGTACATTTTTTTGGTTGAGAGACATCTAGACTGTTTCCAGTTTCTGGTTATTATGAATGAAATCAAAATGAACATAGTTGAGCAAGCATCCTTGAGGTAGGATGGGGTGTCTTTGAGGTATATGCCCAAGAGTAATATAGCTGGATCTTTAGGAAGATCAATTCCCAATTTTCTGAAGAACCACCATATTGATTTCCATGGTGGCTGTATGAGATTCTGTTTCCATCAGCAGTGGAGGAGTGTTCCCCTTCCTCCACATCCTGGCCATTATGAGCTGTCATTCACATTGCTGATCTTATCCATTCTGACAGGAATAAGATGCAATCTCAAAGTAGTTTTGATTTGATTTCCCTTGTGGCTGCTTGTCAGCAATTTCAGATTCCTCTGAGACTTCTCTGTGTAGGTCTCTACACCATTTTGTAATTGGATCGTTTGAGTTGTTAATGTCCCATATTTTGAGTTCTTTATATATTTTGAATATTAGCTCTCTGTTGGATATGGATTTGGTGAAAATCTTTTCCCATTATGTAGGCAGCTGTTAGTCTTATTGACAGTGTCCTTTGCCTTATGGAAGCTATTCCCTACTTTTTCTTTTTTCAAGTTCATGAGTCTGGTTTCATGTTGGAGTCTTTGATCCATATGGACTTGAGTTTTGTGCAAGGTGATAGATATGGATATATTTACATTTCTACCTCCTAAGTTTCTATTAATGGCCTATCATCTATCTCTAGCTATCTATTTCTCTCTCTCTCTCTGAATGATATATGAAAGGATGTGCTGTTTCATCCAGAAACAAGTCTCTCAGATATTTTTGCATAGCAATATAGAAAATGGAGACATGTTTATGTGCAAGCACATGCATACATTTGTAAGATCACTTTTTGTGTTTGCAGCTGACACAATAGAAATTGTTATCGGTATTCACATAACAATAATCAGGTTGCCACTGTCCAATCTGAGACACTGAACTATGTAATACATTGGCTAAAAATAAGAAAGGCTTTCAGAGTTTAAACTTCACGCAAATTACAACTATGGCAATTCAATCAATATATACTTGGGAAAATGTGCTTTTTTAAAGATATTGGCTATAAAACTCTCTCAATGTATACCGGTTGAATTTATTAATTTGGTGCCTATATCTGTATAGTTACTGATTATTCTGTGTGCTTGGCATATAAATTGAAAAAAAAAAGCTATGTTGAAGTGTATTATAATAAAATGAATATGGTAATATTCCTTTCATTTCTCTTTTGTGGAATGATTTGATGAGTTTTGGAATTAACTCCTCTTTGAAAGCCTATTAGTTTTCTGTGTAAAAACAGTTTGGCCCTGGTCATTTGTTGTTGTTGGAAGACTTTTAATGGTTGCTTTTATTCCCTTAGAGGTTATAGGTCATGTTCAGGGTTGAGTTTCACTTTGCCACACCGTGCTGCCATGGCGCATTTGCCTCATCCAGAAACAATTTCTCTCAGGTATTTTGGCAAAGCAATGTAGAACTGTCTGACACAATGGAGACATGTTCATGACAGATTTTAAATGACAGATTTTGGCCCAGGAAGAGTGACTCTGGGATACTGGGTGCTCATGACATGTGTGTGTGTGTGTGTGTGAGAGAGAGAGAGAGAGAGAGAGAGAGAGAGAGAGAGAGAGAAAGAGAAAGAGAGAGAGTAAGAAAGAAATGGGGAGAGGGGGGAGAGGGAGGGAGAGAGAGGAGAGAGAGAGAGAGAGAACTAGAGAAATCAATGACTATTCCTCCCCTTTCTGAAAATACTTGGGGTGTGTAGGATAGAAACATTCCAGCTTGGCGGGAAAATTATTCCTCACGAGTCATCTTAATGTGTCTTTAAAATAGAATCCTAGGTCTTTCTCCAGAGCATCTAATTTGGACTGTCTGACTTACTACCCAGCCTCCTGTATTTCTAACTTGTGCCCATAGGCCAACTTGAGAATAGGAAACAGCACACTGACCAGCTCCAAAGTCTGAACT